GTTGAGGTTGAGTACTTATCCTGGTGCCACACCAGGACTCCAAATAATAGGACAAAATTATAAAAGATGATATAGATCCTTCTTACACTAATTCATTTGAAAAGTCTATTTTAAAAAAGAGTAGTGTACATACACCATACAATATTTAGAAGATGTACATTACAGTTAGTCTATTGGGGATCTATAATCATTAAACCAGCTGCTCCATGGAAACCCTATACAGGGATGCTATGAGTCAGAATTAACGCCATAGCACTTAACAACAACAATCATTAAACAGTCTAAAATTGACAGAAAGACTCATAAATACGTTCTTAACATACAAGGGGGAAAAAAGGAAGCTTCCTGAATATTATTTGTTAGTAAATAGTTAAATTATGTTACATTCATTCAATTAAATATTTTACAGTGATTCAAAACAATGATTTAGAATAGCAGCGTGGAATCATGAATTATCTAATGTCTCTTCTAGCCATAGTCTATAACTTCCGCCAAAAGTTTCTGCCCTGCACTGGACAGCAAGGTTGGTTTGATCCACAAGGTTGGCAGTTGAAACTCACCAGCCGCTCCTTGGAAACTCTATACAGGGTTGCTATGAGTTGGAACAGACTCAATAGTACTTAACCACCACAGGTCTGGGTAAGAGAAGGTAGGCGAAAATACAGCTAGGATGATATGATTCAGCTGTGGATGGTAGAGATCATTGTAATTGTGAAAACTTGAAACTCTAGCATGGGTATAAAATGAACCATTTCAGAAGCAGGAGAGGTGATCTCACTACCATCATAGAAAAAGAGCCAGGAGTGGAGCGTGTCCTCTGGATCCCAAGATCCCTATACACTGAACCTCTTGGACCCAGGAACAGAAATCTGTGAGTGGTACAGGAGCTGCAGCAGCAGAACCAAAAACCAGTGCACGAGACAGAGCAGTGGACTTTCCATTCCACAGACAAGTAAGGCTGAATGACTCTGGGCAGGAAACTTGCTTGTAGAGTGTGGTGCTTCCAGGTATTTAAGTTGGGAAGCTAGGTTTGCTGACCTATGGAGCTATAGTCCAGTGCCTTCACTGGTGGAATGGTGTGTCCTACAGGCATTTATCAGCCTCTGAAGGGAGTAACTGTGCAATGAGCATTTCTGACAACAAATTGGTCAAAAATGACTTCCCTAACAAATTTTGTAACTGTGAGTATGGTGTCTGAGTTCTGTGTGGCCATGGTTAACTTTCCTAGTAAACTCCATAACTGTGAGCATGGCGTCTGAGTTCTGTGTGGTCACTGTTAACTTCCCTAGTAAACTCCATAACTGTGAGCATGGTGTCTAAATGAGTTCTGTGTGACCACTGTGACACATTATTGAACCCAAATGAATAGATATGGCTGTGGGACGAATGATTTGTTGGCACATATTTTTACAAATATTAATCACATAAAAATACCAACGTAATACTGAAACAGAAAGATACTAATCTACACACATAATATGAACCCAATTACATTACAATGTAAGTATGCAATTCATTGGTACACAGATAAGAGATGGAAGTAAATGTTAAAATTTAACAGTGTTTTGAACAGAGTACAGATTTGTATTTGTCTTTGAATTCTGTGTGTTCAAAATAATCTATAATTAGAATTCTCTATAATTTAAAAAAAAAAGGAAGGCCAGTACCACTGTGGGTTAGGCACTGGCCAAACCACAAGTTCAGTTGCTCAAACCTCCACAGCAAAAGATGAGGCTTTCTGATCCCGTACAGATTTACAGTCTTGGAAACCCTATGAATCGTAATCATTTCAATGCCAGAGGGTTTGGTTTGTTGTTGTTGTTAAGTGCCGTCGAGTCGGTTCCGACCCATAGCGACCCTGTACAGGGTTTCCGAGGGTATAAATCTTTACGGGAGTAGCAAGCCTCATCTTTCTCCCGCAGAGCGGCTGGTAGTTTCGAACTGCTGACCTTAAGGTTCGCAGCCCGATTCGTAACCACTACGCTACCAGAGGGTATACTTTAAAAGGATATTCACACTTAAAAAAAAAAAAATTAGTTAACTATGAGTTTTTAACTGTATCTTGGATAATTTAAAAGTTCAACTCTTCTTACCTGCTGTCATGGTTGGGCTAAATATTCCCAGCACTGACACACTAGAATAGGAGATCAGGTCTTCATAAAGCTTCCCGTTTAAATATTCTTCTGCTTCTTGGACAGTTGTTAGGTTCACTGGACATGAAATCCTGTTGCTGAATGAATATACAACTATATTCAAAATTAAATTTTAAGGTTTTTTTAAGCTTATAAAAAAAAGATCATATTGAACATAGCAAACAAGATAAATATCTGACAAAATAAAAACAAATACTGTTCTTTCAAGAAGAAGAAGAAGAAAAAAATAAAGATCAACTTCAATCAGCAAAATTATTACTATCTTACCAAAAAGGATAGAATATGGATAGGTACTCTTCATTAATTTGTATTTTATTGTAATTCTAGAATCCCCCAGAACCCAAAGTATGTCAACAAATTATGAGTATTAGATGTCTTACAGGCTTTTTTTATTATTATTATTCTAGTGGTGTTGAATACTTACAGCTGAATAAATTTTAGGAGCTCTTCGGTTCCTAGCATACCAGCATAAGATACTGGGTTCTCATCTTCCTTGTACATCTTTATAAAAGGAAATTCAGTAACATTTTGCTTAGTACATATGTCAGACCAATCTCCACAGTTTACTCTAGAAAGCAGCACACTGGATGTGCCTAAAGGAAAGGAAAATGTACCCATCATGTAAGTAACTCAATTAGTTACAATTTAAATATTCCAAAAAACAAAATAATAATCAGAAAGAAACTTAAGTTATCCTTCTATATAATATTATAATCTTAATTTGAAAAAAATACAATACCAAATACTTCTGTTACAAATTTTACTACTGATTTATTAAACCTTTTAATTAATTTCAATTCTACAAATACTTCCAAACATGATGTGCTACCTACTGAATCAGAAAAAGTAATTAGATGCTGGCCACTGCTGTTTCCACTTATGCAGGTCAAAAATCTGGTTACTGTACAACAGGCATGCTGCCCTCGCTTTCCAAGATGGAGGTTACATTCCATTACAGTTAACATTCCCCACAGTTTTAAAACTTGGTTCCAAACTGGTGTCACTTTGTCACCTATGCATGAAGTAGGCTGAACCAGTTTTAAGGCTTTGTAGTAAGAGATCAAAAACAAAAACAGCACTCCACAACTCAGTTACTCAAAGGAAGGAATACACACCATTTAAAAAGAACCAACTTTATTATCACATTAGGTCAAAGAAAGAATCTTTGTATAAATATTTAGGATATAGATTCCATAGATATACCTCATGGATCTAATAACTTATAACTTTAGATTTAATGTGACAAGCTGTATGATAATATAAATAGGGTCTCATCTGTCCTATTTGCTAATGTATTTCCAATGTTAAGCACAATGACCATCTCAAGAATAGATTTGATGCATTAGACTCTAATGTCTGAAGACCAGAGGAGATGTGGGATAACATCAAGAACATCATGCAGAAGAAAGCAAAAGGTCATTAAAAAGACAGCAAAGAAAGAAAAGACTCTGAAACTTGCTCTTAAAGGGGAGAAGCTAAAGCAACTGGAAGAAGAGAGCTGATGAGAAAAAAGTCAAAATGGAGCTTGAGAAGACAAAGTCAAGTGTTATAATGAAATGTGTAAAGACCTGGAGTTAGAAAACCAAAAGGGAAGAACATGCTCAGCATTTCTCAAGCTGAAAGAACTAGAGAAAAAATATTCAAGCTTTGACCTGTAATAATTAGTGACTCTATGGGCAAAACATTGAATGACGCAGGAAGCATCAAAAGAAGATAGAAGGAATACACAGTGTCACCATACCAAAAAGAACTGATCAGTGCACAACCATTTCAAGAGGTAGCATATGTTTCAAGAACCAATGGTATTGAAAGAAATTCAAGCTGCTGAAGGTATTGGCGAAAAACAAGGCTCCAGGAATTGACATACAAATAGAAATGAAGAGGATTTGAGATACTAATGAAGATGAAGACTACAGTCTTCAGTACGAATTGCAAAGAAATGTGTTTTTTTAAAAAAATCCTCACAACTGAGCCAATAAATAACATCATGGTAAATGGAAAAAAAGCAGAAATTGTCAGAGACTTTGATTGCATCCAAAACCAATGCTCATGGAAGTAGCAGTCAAAAAATAAAGCGATGTGCCGTATTAGGCAAATCTGCTGCATAAGGCCTCATTGTTGTTGTTGTTGTTGTTAAGTGCCATCGAGTCAGTTCTGACCCATAGCGACCCTGTACAGGGTTTCCGAGGGTGTAAATCTTTA